CGAAGCCTAAAACAGGACCTCGTCCCTCGCCTACCCACTAGCATTCATATCCCTGAAACTTGGCGCGACAGGGTAAGTTGGCCGTCAGAGGGGCATGCCGCGAATTAATCGACATTTCAGGGGCATCTCGAAAAGTTTCCCAAAAAAAAAGGAAAATTATTTTTTAATTTTATTTTTTGTTTTAAATTTAGTAAAGAGTTTGGATCTGACCCTGAGGCAAAAGTTGTTCAGTTTATTTTTCTGCATACTATAGTATTTGTTTTTGTTTCGTTTTTATTTTTTGCTGGGACCTTGCCTGGTTCTTGCACGCCAGGGAAAACAAGGTAACCCGCGTGGCCCGGCTGGTAGCCTAGCTACAAGTAGAATAAGCAACAACCCTTTTTTTTTCTTCTGTTTAACTCGCACAAAACACATGCCCCATCTATTCTGGGGGCAGCCAGTCCAGTTGCTCTTCGCCGGCAAGCAAAAGTTCAGACAACAAGAGATGAAAGAGGGACAGCAATAACCCTTTTTCAACCATTGGGTTCCACAAAGTTGCGAGCTTTGCTCTTCACCGGCAAGCAAAAGTTTGGACAGCAAGAGATTAAAGAGGCTTGCCATAGATTTAACTAATTAGGGTAAAAAGACTGAAATTTACGAAATGTGTCTGCGGGTTCACCATAGTTCAATCCTGAAAAACTGACAGTTTGGGATGCACATTTGCAGGATCGCCCGTGTTCTCCCCCCTTTTTGCAGGATTGTCCTTGCTCTCCCCGAAATTTGCAGGGCTGTCCTTGTTCTCCCCCCCCCGCCCCTTATCTGCAGGATTGTCCTTGCTCTCCCCGATATTTGCAGGGCTGTCCTTGTTCTCCCCCAAACTGAACTGATTGAGTTGCTTCCGACAACTAACAGCCAGAACTGATCTCCCTTTCCCCCTCCCACTTTGGGGGCAAAAAGGCCCGGGAGGAGGCCGGGGGGCCGGGGGGGGGAGGGGGAAGGGAGAGAAGGGAGGAGGAGAAAAACAGGAAGAGGGGAGGAGGACAACGAAGAGGAAGAAGGTAAGAGGAGGAGGAGGAGGGTGAAGAAGAGAGGAGGAAGAAACGGAAGAGGAAGAAGGGAGTCATAGCGACAGCATGTTGGTTGAACATTTACTCATTGATCATGGTCCCAGCAGTCTGTTGATCGTTTGTGTATAAGTGACTAAATAATCAATCAATCATGTGAGCAATCGCGTCATCATTGATCCATCATGATTTGATGACGGGACCGATTATGGTTTCTCCGATTATGGTTTCTTTCAGCAGGGAGGGGAAGGAAGTGAGGGGAGGAAGGGACGGAGGAAGGGGGAAGGGGGGGGGGGGGGGCAGCGGGTGTTGGCATGTAGACATCCCTTGTTGGCACTTATATAACTTTTCACCTTAAGCGCTCAAGCTGATAGCCCCCTTTTTGGGATTTTCCTTTTAAAATTTGTCCCCATTTTTTTCCCAACTGTGGAATTGTTAGTCTTCGGTCATTACCACTACGGGCGCAAATAAAGACAAGACAGCATAAGCACACGCAGGTGTTTTTTTTCTTTTCTTTTCTTTTCTACTTTTCCTTTTCACAGCTTGTGCGGATGTTGCTTGGTATTCGCTGAACACACTGTGTTTGCGCTGAACATTCAGTGTGCTTTCGCCATTCACTGTGCTTTTGCTGAACGCTCAGTATGTTTTCGCTGAACGCTCCGTATGTTTTCGCTGAACGCTCAGTATGTTTTCGCTGAACGCTCAGTATGTTTTCGCTGAACACTCGGTGTTTTTCGCTGAACACTCGGTGTTTTTCGCTGAACACTCGGTGTGCATTCAATTTTTTGCTTGATCTACACAAGGAACCGATGACAACAACAGAAAAAATTGAATGCACACTGAGGTGTGGAAAACCCTTCATTGCTTTCCAAACAACACTGAGGTGGGGGAAAGAAATAAGATCCCGGTATTATACCCCAAAAAAAATGGGGGGAGGAGGGAAGAAAGGGAACGACAACACCCTCCGAAAGGAAAAATAGTTGCTTTCAGAACGAGATTAAAGATTTAAAAAGTAAGAAAGGAGAAAAGAGCAAGCTGGGCGAGAGAACACAAATAAAAGAAACCAAAAAGCCACAGAGAGAGAGAGAGAGAGAGAGAGAGAGAGAGAGAGAGAGAGAGAGAGAGAGAGAGTGAAGAAGTTTCTCGACAAAGTTTCCACACGTGATCTCTGGGCAGGGGAGTCTCATGAAGATGGATAAGAAGAGGGAGGGAGGGCGTAAGTCGAGGGAGATGTATACAGCGAGAGGGACCGGGGGGAGGGCGGAGGGAAGAGGGGGGGGCGCAAATATCAAAAAAGTATTCAATTTGAGGATCCGTTTCACTCTGGGCGCTAAAAAATCTAACTCTTTCCAAAGAAGAAAAAAAAAAAAAAAAAAAAAAAGAATCTAACTCACAGAAGCAGAAAAAAAGAGTTGTGTTCACACATGGCAGTGTTGTCTACGACAAAGAGAACACAGGCAATGAGAGGGGGGAGGGGGGGGGAAGGGAGAAGGAGAGACGGGAGGAGAGAGCGGGGAGGAGAGAAGGGGAGGAGGAGAAGGAAGAAGAGAGGGAAGTAGAGAGGGGAAGAGAGGAGAGGCCATAGACTATTCGAGCAAGCAGATCACCAAGTAAGTTCGGTGACATTTGTTTTTGTTTTCGCTTTAAATTTCCTTTTTGCCCCCGAAGAATACAAGGAGGGAAAGGATGGCCGGCACCAAACCCTACCCCAGCGGATCGAAAGGGGAAAACGGAGAAAAAAGGAGTTGATTCTAAAACCACACGTTCACACGAGTTTAGGTTGACGCAGCTACCTTCCTAGGCTCTCTAGCCTCCGCAACTGCTGCGCCTTTTTTCAAACGGCCTGCCGCCTTCGCTACCGGCCCAGGGCCGAATCGAAATGCTCTTACCACGTTTTCCCGTAAGAGCACTACCTAGGCTCGTGTGGACCGGTTTAAGGGGTTGAAAAGGAATTGTGTAAGGGAAAAAAAGAGAAGGGAAAAAAAAAAAAAAAAAGAGAACTAATAGGCTCGTGTGAACTGGCGGCACTACTTAGGCTCGTGGGGTTGAAAAGGAGGTGTGTAAAGGAAAAAGGACAAAAAAAAAAAGAAGAGAACTACTTCGGCTTGTGCGAACTGGTGGTTTAAGGGATTGAAAAGGAGTTGTGTAAAGGGGAAAAAAAGACCCAACAAAAAAAAAAAAAGAAGACCACTACTTAGGCTTGCGTGAACTGGTGGTTTAAGGGGGTTGAAAAGGAGTTGTGTAAGGAGAAAAAGACCAAATTTTTTTTTTAAAAAAGAAACGGCTTGTAAGAGAGAAAAAAACTCATGGTTCATTAATTCATTTACAGTATTCTTCCGAAACATTTAGAGGGGGTGGGGGGGGGGGGGGAGACGAATTTATGGGGCGAAGTCTCACTTGACCGCATCCTTCAACTCTTTCTTCCTCAACACAAAAAAAATCCTTCATTTCTGACCGTTTATCTTCATAATATACGGTCAGAAATCGAGAATTTAGATAAATGGGACTTGGCCCCTGGTGGTGCGTAATAATATTTATTGTAAATAACTACTGTTTGTTACTCCTCTGGCCATTTAACTTTGATGTTTTATGATATGTGACCACTTGTGTGAAAAAAAATAATAATAATAATAATAACTTTGATGTTCCTGGCCGCAATTTCGGCGTTTTTTTTACCGACATCGTCTGGGCTTAGCGGGTTCCCGTCAGTGAGGGCGGACGATTTCGGTTCACAAAACGCGGAAATTTGTGGCCAGGAACGTCAAATTTAAATGCCCAAAGGAGTAATAAGTACATCCGTCAAATTGGAACGAACGATACGGAGAACGAAGATTAGCATGGCCGCTCCTTGCGCAGTGATGACCCAAAAAAAAAAAGGAAAACGTTTTTCGTTATTTTGTAGTAAGTACCATTTCACTGATTTCAGACATTTCTTTCTTATTTGTTATCCAGTACCAAAGGCTACCTTTTTTCCCCTGTTTTTTTTGGTCGAGTCATTAGCAGAATAATAATATCATATTGCAAATTCGAACTATAATATCATACATAGTACGACGGGCCTACCTAGCTCAGGTTGTACACCCACTAAAAAGAAAAAACTGTTGAAATGCAGACCTAAGTGTTTGTTTGTTTGTTTTTCGTTTGTTTTTTTTAGTTACAAGGTCAATGGAATCAGACGAAAGGAAATTCCCCCCCCCCCCCAAAAAAAAAAGAGTGAAAATAATAAAATACTATAAATACCTAGGCTACCAGCCAGGCCGCCCGGGTCCCCCTATTTTCCCGGACGGTCCGGCCGCGCAAGGACCAGGGAGGGTCCACGCAAAAAAAAAATCAAAAAAATCCGAGGCTACCAAAGTGGCCCGGGGTCACTTGCCCGGCCGGGCCAAAAAAAATAAAAATAAAACAATATTTTTAAAATTTATTTTTTATTTTAAATTTGGTGAAGAATTTCGATGTGACCCTGAGGCAAAAGTTGTTCAGTTTATTTTTCTGCATAACATAGGTTTCTTTCGGATT